TCATCCATACTTTCTAAACTATTTAACAAGTGCTTATCAGAGTCTTGTTTTCCATCATGCTGGAAAGCAGCATCTGTTATCCCTATTTTCAAAAATTCCGGAGAGCGATCTGATTCATCTAACTACCGTCCCATTTGTCTTCTTCCTGTCATAAGCAAGGTTTTTGAATCTTTAATCAACAAACACTTAATCTCTCATCTTGAATCAAATAACTTACTTTCTGATCATCAATATGGATTTCGGTCTTCTCGTTCATCAGCTGATGTGCTAACAGTAATAACCGATAGGTTTTACCGTGCATTAGATAGAGGTGGAGAGGTTAAGGCTATCGCACTTGACATTTCTAAAGCTTTTGATAAAGTTTGGCATGCTGGTCTTCTCCATAAGCTTTCTTCTTATGGTGTAGCTGGTAACGTCTTTAAGATTATTGAGTCCTTTCTTTCCAATCGTAGTATAAAAGTTGTCCTCGATGGACAACACTCTTCTTCACATCCTGTAACTTCAGGGGTTCCTCAAGGTTCAATCCTTGGCTCTATACTCTTTTTAATTTACATTAACGATCTTCCAGATATTCTCACATCTAAGGTGGCATTATTCGCTGACGACACTACCATTTACTCTTGTCATGATAAGAAGCCTACACTCTCTGATTGCTTGGAGGGGGTATCTGAGCTTGAAAAGGATCTCACTTCTGCTACAGCATGGGGCTCACAGTGGCTGGTGAACTTTAATTCAGATAAAACTCAATTTTATTCGGCCAATCGTTATCGTAATAATTTAGATCTTCCTATATTTATGAATGGTAATGTACTAGATGAGTCATCTACCATTCATCTTCTAGGATTAACTCTTACTTCTGATCTTTCTTTTAAACCGTATATCAAATCCATTGCAAAATTAGCATCTGCTAAGGTTGCATCTCTTTATCGAGCTCGACACTTTCTTACTCCAGATTCTATTCTCTATCTCTATAAATCTCAAATCCGTCCCTGTATGGAATACTGTTGCCACATCTGGGGCGGATCTTCTAATGATGCTCTTTCTCTTTTAGACAAGGTGCAAAAACGAATTGTAAACATAGTTGGACCTGCTCTTGCAGCCAATCTCCAACCTTTGTCACATCGTCGTAATGTTGCTTCTCTTTCTCTTTTCTACAAATACTATAATGGGCACTGCTCTAAAGAGCCAGCGTCCCTTGTGCCATCTACTAAAATTCACTCTCGTGTTACTCGCCATTCAATTAAGTCTCATCCTTTTTCTGTGACTGTTCCTAAGTGCTTCAAAAACTCTTATTCTTCTAGTTTTTTTCCTCGAACATTAGTTCTTTGGAATTCGCTTCCTTCATCTTGCTTTCCTGATTCATATAATTTGCAATCTTTTAAGTCATCAGTCAATCGTTATCTTGCTCTACAGATTTAGTCTTTTCTCTTCCAGTAACTTCCAACTCTTATAGTGGTTGCTTGCAGCCTTGTTGGAAGTGAAGATGTTAAAAAAAAAAAAAAAAAAAAAAAAGAATACTCTAGAACTTTATTTCACTTAGTCAGTGTATTTTTTGAACTATTAGAATTAGTTAGATTGTAGATATAGCAGGTTTTTAGTGTTCACAAATATTCTTTTTATTCTTCTGCACCAAGATGTTTTAAGAACATTCAAAAAAAAATTTTTTAATTCACGTAAAAGAAATATCTTTACATTTGTTTTGCGGACAAACATGGAAACATAGATTAACTTAAATGTTCTCAAAACGACTAAAAAATCTGGCCAGTTTTATACAACTAAATATTATTTCCGTGGTCAGTAATGGAGTGGATCGTTCCCGCTTCCTGACCAAGCCTGATCTTATATTTTTTAGTGAAAGATTAATACTTCCTAGCAAAAGGCTGCTTGACACAGATAAACCATCACCAGTGTCTAGTAGCACTGGTGATGGTTCATCCACTTTGTAAAAAAAAGAAATAGTCCACTTTGTAAAAAAAAATGAAACAATCAAATTGATCTTTACTCAGAACTCAGAGAAAGAGAAAATATCACATATAAAGAATTGGAAAAGAAATCCAATTGCAAATATAATTTGTTTTTACTTGAAACTGTTTGCTTAAATTAGACAGCAAATCCTTATAAGTGGTGTTTAGCAAGCACAAAATATTATCCTACAGAACTTACGTTAAAAGATTTATTATTTACTGGTGACAATTAACATAGTGAATATATATTTGGAAGTATGGAAAATTTATGAGTAAAAACACTACCAGCTATTATCAAACAATGAAAAAGGTTTTTATCATATTTTACCATTTATAGATTTTAAGTATCAAGTTTGCTAATCATTTGTTATTATAAAGAATAAACAGTTAAATTTAATCTTTTTTTATGCATTTTTTTGTTTTTGTTTTTTTGTTACAATCAATTTTGTTACAATTTTGTTATAAGTATTCAATATTTAACCAAACAATTTGCTTGCCAAATACTGAACAGTGACTATTAGTTATTCTGCTAAATACTGAACAGTAACTATTAGGTATTCTGTCAAATATTGATCAGTAACTATTAGGTATTCTGTCAAATACTGAAAAGTAACTATTAGGTATTCTGTCAAATACTGAAAAGTAACTATTAGGTATTCTGTCAAATCCTGAACAGTAACTATTAGGTATTCTGTCAAATATTGAACAGTAACTATTAGGTATTCTGTCAAATACTGAACAGTAACTATTAGGTATCCTGTCAAATCCTGAACAGTAACTATTAAGTATTCTGTCAAATATTGAACAGTAACTATTAGGTATTCTGTCAAATACGGAACAGTAACTATTAGGTATTCTGTCAAATCCTGAACAGTAACTATTAGGTATTCTGTTAAATATTGAACAGTAACTATTAGGTACTCTATCAAATTCTGAACAAAAACTATTAGGTATTCTGCCAAATCTTGAACGGAAACTATTAGGTATTCTGCCAAATAAGCAAAATACCTATTATTTACTGAATATTTGTTGTATCTCTACTTTAGACCTTTAGTTACTAAAAAAGAACATAAAAATGAAAAGTTTGTGAAGAAATATTCATAAGTCACATCATAATAAAAAATAATTTGTTTTTATAATTAATATTATAATAATTATAAATAAACTAAAAATAAATATTATAATTAACTATAATTAATATTATAAATATTCTTTTAATTTTTTTGATCTTCTATTTTAAAATTATTCAAGTTTTTAACCATTCAATACTTTTTCTTTCATTTCATTTTTTATAATCTTTTTATATCTTTTGTTCATTAGTTTTTAACATAGTATTTCCTATTTTTAAATAGTATTTCATAATATTTTTATTTGCAGAGGTTCAAAATAGCTCAATTTATTGTTATAATTTGCAGCTTAACCTGCAGTTAAAATGTAATAAATAGTAATATTAAACACTTGTGAACAATGTGCAAGTATTTAATACTATTACAATATTACTTTTAGTAATTTTTTTTACTTAAAAAAGTAAAAGTAAAAAACAAAAGTATAACAATATTTAAACCACTTTAAACAGTTATAAAAAGTTATTTAATAAGCATTTATTAAATAACTTTTTATAACTTTTTATAAACTTTTTATAAACAAACATGTTTTATTGTCAGTATTTCATGCTGACAATAAAACATGTTTCTATTTTTGCCTACTGAAGGCACTAATGGTATAAAGATTCATTGAATGGTGGTATGGTGTCACATGTCCACCTTCCCTTTTTTCTATGGTTTCCGTTATTTCTATGGTGTCACATGTTCCTTCTTCCCTACCCCATTTCTATGGCTAACCTGCAAAGGTTAGCCATAGAAATGTTTTTCTTTTTTTTGAGCATATTAAGTATATTTTATAGTTGAGTAACTTGTTTTTATTAAGTAAGTTTAATTTGCTAAAAACAATTATTCTTACAAATAAACTAATAAAAACAGTAAAAAAAATTTGCAACATCTTTTTTTTTACAAAGTTTTAATGCTGTTATTGTGTTTTTAGTTAATTTTTTTTTTTTTTCTATTACTTTTTTAAATATTTTTTTTTATTTTCTTTAAGTTTTATTAAGTTTTATTATTAAGCTTAGTTTTTTTCAGCAATTTTATTATCTCAAAACATGCAAATGACTCTGACCAAGTTGTCTTTACTAAATACTTTATGCATGGACAAAGCATAAAGCCGCATGCGCTTCTAGGAAGACTCTTGAGTATTCATTATATTGTATTTAGTGTTTAGTAATAGTGTATTTAGTAATAGTGTATGACATGTATATATAGTAATAGGTTTTTAAGTTAAAGGTATAATTAAGTAATTTATTAAAAATTTTATAACAACCTATTATTTTAACTCTATTACTTACAGATATACATATGTATTAAAATACGCAGAATATATATTTAAAGATAAATATGTGTAATATTTAAATTTAATAAATATAAATATTATTTATCACGCAGAAATTATATATTTAAAATAAGTAACAATAAAATTGAACATTTTTTAATCTACACAATAGCGCTATCAAGTTCACGAAATGAGAAAAAAATTGCACATTTTGTAAAATGCACAATTTCATGATCTGTGCATAACAACTCCAATTATCTAAGAATCTAAAAACTCAGACCTACGTAAATTTTGTCTAGTTTGATTCGACATCGGAGCACACCATTATTTGTTACTTATCTTAGGCTTCTTTTTCTTGCTAGAAATTTTAAGATACACTAAAAATAGTAGTTTCTCTGACGTAAAATCAAGTTCTACTTTTTTGATAAGTTGTTTTTCATTATATCTGCTTCTTTTAAGATCTTCATCAGGCAACTGAACAAAACAATTAAATAACTTTAATTTTTTCCAATTAAATTCTGAGTCTTCAATAAATCAATTTATGCAACATCAGATAAAAAATTAGCACAAAAATATAATTTACTCATTTTATTATTTAAAGCTATCGATATTTAAACAAATTTATAAACATGAAAAATAAAATATTTCTTTTAGCATAATTAGGCGATTGGCAACTCTTATTTCTCGACTAGCTACTGTAGAAGCTTCATGTGAAGCAGCGATAAAACAAGCTAAAGGAGCTTCTGATCAGGCTGATAAGTTGCTTCAAGAAAATCAACAGTTGAAGGTTTGTAATTTACAAATTGTTGAATTCTAAAATTTAAATGTTTTAAAGCTTTGATAGATTTTTGACCTTCATAGAAATCTAATCGAGTTCAAGCAGCAGAATCTGCTAGTGGTGATGACATAGAGGGGCTAAAGCAAAGAAATGCAAGATTGATAGCAGAGTTAAATGAAAAAGATAATGGTAAATCTTTTTTTTTTTTTTAATTAAAGGGATCCCTAAGTGCTATAAAGATATGATCTCATATGAAAGAGGATAAAAAAAAAAAAAAATGTTTGATGTATATTAATTTTTCTAAAATGTAATAATGAACACACACTAACAAATTTAATTTTCAAAAAAACGTTTTTCTTCGATTAAAAAAAATGCGTCTTGTCCAAAGTTTATTGACTATTGCCTCAAAAAACTAACGTTTGTACGTCAAATTAAACAAAGTAGACAAAATGTCATTATTGTAAACTTATTAGTTGGTAATTAAATTTAAAAGTGAAGTCGTTTTTTTTTTCAACTAACACATAATTACTTACAAGAATAAGTTTTGTAGCATTTTGTGAAAATATATTTGTATATTAAATTTTTTTTTATAATTTAAATTTATATATTTGTGTTATAAGGGCAGTTCCACGGCTAAAAATGAGTAGAAGTCAAATTTTAAACTCTTTTTAATCAGTTAAAAACAAATGAATATTGACTTAGACACACGAAAGTTTATTTAAAATATTTCCTTAGTAGAAAAATTAATTTATTTCAGTAATTTTTATGGTTTCTAAAGTGACGGTTACTCTCATTTTTGCTTGATAAAAAAAATAATTATTGTAAAATGTTTTAGTTAAATTAACATTTATGTTAAATTGCTATATTTTTTTGGTTCAAATTGATAAGGTTGAATAGACATTTTATTAGAAATTAAACTAAGACAGGGCTCGAATTAACGCAAAAAAATCTAATCGTGAAAAAAAAATTTTTTTTTGCCCTCTCTTTCTTATAACTCGCGCCAATGTGCGGTAATGGGGGAAAAAATTATCATCAAATCAAAAAACATTGTCAAAAACTTAATAAAAAATTAGATACCACGTTTTTTATAATTTATTGTTTCTTGAATAAAGGACTAATAAAAGTTAAAATATAATTAAGTTTTTCATCTAAATGGTTGATGTTTTTATTCAATTTTTCTATTTCAAGTTTTCCAATAAAAGATGAAACAAAAAAATTTGGTTTAATAAATCCAATTATACTTCATGTTTAAAATAAGGCTTAAAAACGTTCAAGTAAAAAAATTGCTGGTTTTTATTAGCTTTTTTATACTGTTTGAAAAAAAAAAATAATAAAAAAGAATTAACTAATAATATATTAATTAATAATTATTAGAATTAATAATAATAACAATTAATTCTTTTTTATTAGTTTTTTTTTTCAAACAGTATAAAAATGCAAATTAAAGTCAGTAATTTTTTTGCTCTAACGTTTTTAAGCCTTATTTTAATCATGAAGTTTTGATAAACAAAGATAAAAACCAACTTTTCAACTTTTCGCTTTAACAACCTTGTAAAAATTTTCCACGCAGAGATTTAAAGTAATTTAAATTCAAAAATGTTTTACGTTGAAAGAAAATCTCCATGCGAAAGAGCAAATCATCTATTCATCTATCTATTCAGAATAATAAATTTTGTGTGACGTTCTTTATGATAAAAACATTACATTTAAGAATTACTAAAAAAAAGGCTAAGCTAGAAAAAAAGTAATTAATCAACCAAAAAAAAAACTAGTCGCGAAAAGAATTTTTTTTAAGAAAAAACTAATCACAAAAGTGTGTGTAGCAATCGCGATCGCGATACGCTTAATACGAGCCCTGTAAGACTTTTTTATAAGTTCTAAACTATTTAAAAGTATTACTTAATAACTTTTTTTTAACGACGTCTTTCTATTATACTGTTTTTGCAAAACTAATTAAAAAAACTTGATTAAAACTTAACTATTAAATCACGACTTTTTTTTACGTGAAAATCGAAGTAGATATTCTAAAGTTGTTGTGACGTACTAACGTGATTTTTAACGACTAACAATCGAGTTTCAATGGTGAAAAAATAAAATCAAAATTGAGTTGTTTTTTAGTGATTTCGGCAACTGCTTTTTGTTAGCATGCATTTATTATTACAATTTAGTGAAAAAGAAAAAAAACTTAAATATTTTTTTTTTATGCTCTTTCATATGAGATCATATGTTAGGAGCACTTAGGGATCCCTTTAAAATAATTTTTTTTTTTATGTTTTTTCAAATTCAACTTGTTTCTCTGCACAGCAGCCATCAAGGTTTGTGTTTCTGAGTTATAGAGTTGAGAGGGTTGTAACCACAACTATAGTAGCCTCCTTGACTGTAGTGGCCTTCATGGCTTTGAGGAGATGAATTTAAATTGAAAAAACAAAATCATAATTAAATAAGTTTAAATTAACAAAATTTTGAACTTTTATAACTTTTGTCTTGATAAAACCAGATAAATAGATAAATTATTTATAGATTAATATTATTTACAATCATATATGCAAAAACTCAAATTTAAGTTAAAGCATTTCTATTGAGTTAAGAGGGTACCCACTAAAAATCAAAACTTTGCATAGCTTTTAGCTATATAGTTTTCCGCTTTGTGTTTAATCACTTACAGGTAATAATATCAAAGAAATGATTTAAACAGTTTTCATAATTTTAACATATTGGTTTACATAATTTCGAATGTAAACTCATTTTTACTTGTTTATTCTTGCAGTTCAACCAAAAAACTAAAATAGTGAAACAAACGACCTGAGAATAAAAAAAGATTTAATGCATTGTTATAAAAATACCAGCATATAATGCATTGTTCTTAAGATACCTGCAATAAAATTTGTTTTGAAAAAAAAGTAGTAAAACAATCTGTAATTCCGAAAATCTGTTATAAACTTAAAAATTTTTAGTTTATAACAGATTTATAAACTAAAAATTTTTATAAAAAAACTTGAACATTTTTAAAATTAAAATAAAAACTACAGTTTTCATTTTTATACTAGGTTTTTCTTCACACAGACTGTTTAAGGGATGCGGTGTCCCAAAATAGACTCTTCTTCATAGTTTTTGGTATCCAGGAGCTCTAAAAATATATAAAAAAAAGTTTATGAAATACTATTGGTAAAAAAAAAAAAAACTAAATTTTAAATTTTATAAATTTTTTGTTATAGCAAATGATAAGTCAATTTAATATTTCCGTGCCTGTTGCACATAACATTGATTCTTTAAAATAATGAATGAAGTTGTCTTCAGAACCATTAATGTATATAATCACTGTGCTAGACTTAATTGATTGTTTAAAAATTTCATAAGAGAAGGTGTTTTGGAATCTTGTCCATAGTTCCATAATCAATTCTTAAATTTTTTATTGAGGCAGATGCCACAGATTTTCTTGTTCACTTTTGTTATTTATTCTTTTTAACGCAAGCTGCTGATTGCATCTCTGTACATATTTCTATAATAGAGGTATTTTATGAAATATCAAGGGGTTGAATAAACTTAGTATAATCCATTAAAAATAATAGCCTGTTCAATGTTTGAAGATTTAAAAGGCGCCATACTTTTGCATCTATGTGGCATTCATATAAATCTTATGATAAAAATCTAATAAAAAAAGAAAAAATGTTCTAGTAGGTTTTTAGTGTATTTAATTGCATTATTATTGCCTTATACTTCCAGCTAATTTGGTAAAGTAAACATTGTGCGTTGTATTTTAAATTCATTTTTGAGAGTCTTTGTGATATGCTTATTATTGTTATTATTATTAACTGTTGGCTTTTGCTGTAACAAAAAACTGTATGACAATATAATAATGTGCTGTAAGACAATATGGATGTAATCTCGTAAGTATACGAGATTGTATCCAACCAAATAGGCATCTTATACATTTCTAGGAGTAAATAATTGCATCTATCCTGTATGTTATTGCTTTTTTAATCCTTTTCTTTTTTCTTCTGAATTTATATTAAAAAAAGTTTTTTTTTAATCTAATTTCTGTTATTTCAAGTGAGAAATTTGTAGTCTCTTTTGCAGTTGCTTATTAATTCATTGAATAATTTTTCATTTGGTAATCAAGAGGTTTTCTTTTAGCACAATCTAATCATTTCTTTTTTGTAACCTGATCTTGGTATTTTTTTAAATTTATATTTTAAGCTAAAAATATGAACTCAAAAATAAAATATAGATTTTTTATATTTTGTTTTAGACATCTTTTTAAATGCATATTTGAATAAAAAAAGTTCAAGTTTTAGTTGGATTTTTTTCTCTTGCTTTTGTGTTGCACTGCAACTTCGCTTGATTCAGTTTTATCCAACATATTTAAGTATCACTGTTGTTACTAAGTGTGTGTGTGTTTTTTTTTTTGTCATAAATTGATACTTTTACAAATAAATCAGTGTTTAAAAGTTTCTTCAGCATAAATAATATTTAGCATATATGTTCTTAAACCTACAATTAAAGCTGCTACATAGTATTAATTAAACAAGTAATTAACTTAAAATTAAAAAAATTCAGTTGCTCCAGATTGTGTTAGATTATGTTTTTCATACACATATAACATGAAACTTATATGTGTAGTCGGTGAAAGAGATAAAGATGAGAAGTAATTGTTAAACGTATTTATTTTTGCGTTATTAAAGTTTATGAAACAATTTCTCAGTGCTAACGGAAACAACATCTTAGTAGCAACCGTTGTCAAAAAATGAAAATAAACCCGGGCTTAATCTCACCGAATATTCAAAAACATAAACTATGTTCTCACTGAACATTCAAAATCTCTCAATATGATAAATGTATCAATTTCATAAAATCCGATCTTCAGCTTTTTACCTCTTATTTTCTCAGATAACCGTCCCAATTAATCGATAGAGGCGCTTTTTTTTTTTAATTTTGAGGAAAAGCTTTTAATCGACCATTTATGGTATATTCACTTATGAAAAATAGTAAAATGTCATTGAAATGTTTTCTTTAAGAAGCTGTTTTAACTTGTGACTTCAAGATCAAGTATTTGTATTTCTTTTTAAAAATATTTTAACTTATGACTTTTTAGGAATCTAAAGGTATTTTAGACCAAAAAGTTTATATAAAAGCAAGTTTTTCTTTCTTTAAAAAATAAAAACATTTTTAAGAAGATTAAGATTGTATTCTCTAGTAGTTTAAGTTTATACATTTGCATTTTTATATTTATAATTTGCCTACGCCTAACACCTAAACTGATAAAGTTTTTGCTTTATTATTATTGATGGACAAGTTTATTAGCGTTATTCTATTTTTAAAAAACTTTTTGTTACAGAGTTAAAAAAAATGAAGAATGATTTGGTTGCTATGAAGACTCAATCTGAAGGACTTCATAAAGAATATGATCGTTTGTTAGAAGAGCACAGTGTTTTAGAGGTGAGTTTCTTTTTACTTTTATCTCAGATACTTCATGTTATATTTATATATATATATATATATATATATATATATATATATATATATATATATATATATATATATATATATATATATATATATATATATAAAGTATTGGACAAAACTAAAACCAAATAATGCTAATTTAGTTTCTTTATATAAGTGCTGCATTTTTTCAATTTAGAGAAATAACTATGTAACTGAGTTCGATCCCCACCACGTCCCTGGTAGTATCACGCTCAACTTGTTTCTCCGCGCAGCGGCCTTGTTCATCAAGGTTCGTGTTTTGGAAGTTATAGAGTTGAGAGAGGGTTATAACCACTATTAAGTAGCCTCCTTGTCTGTAGTGGCCTTTTCGGCCTTAAGGAGGTGAATAACTTCGTCAAAATGTTAACCAAGCTGTATTTCGCTATCAACATTTCGTGGCAAATCCTTTGATGTTGATCACAGCCTTGCATCTTCGAGGCATAGATGCGATCAGGTGATCAATGAAACTTTGTGGAATTGCTGCCCAGGCCTTTTGGATTTGTTCAAACAGTTGATCCTTATTACGAACACCATCACAATTAATTCTGCGGTTGACGATCTCCCTCAGGTTCTCGAAAGAGTTGAGATCCGGAGATTGAGGCGGCCAATCCATCACCGATAGGTGGTTGTCTTGAAACCACTGCTTGACTACTTTTGCAGTGTGTTTCGAATCGTTGTTTTGCTGAAAATCCATTTTATTGGCATATTCCGTTCATCATGAGGTAACATAACATCTTTCAGGATATTTTTATACATGAAACGGTCCATTATTCCATCGATTTGATGTATTGGACCTAATACATCAAATCGATGGAATAGTGGTTTCTTTGCAGGGCGTCGAGAAAATAATCCGGCTTCAACAGCACGTCGTCTGATTTTTCGGTCCGATACAGGCAGCTCTAATTGCTTTTGTATCTTGACTGATGATATCCAGGGATCCTTCTTGACGGATCTGACGATCATAGAATCCTCTCTAGAAGTGGTGGAACGCGGTCTTCCACCTTTTTTATCTGCTGCCAACTTCCCCGTAGAACGATATTTGGAACATAGTCTTGATACGGTCCATTTTTTCACGCGATGTTTAACACAAATACTTTTTTGTAATATTCCACGTACGTAATCGCCAATAATTTTCTTTCTTAGTTCCAATCCGAGACTTTCGGGAGCCATTTTTGCACTTGAAGTCATAAAAATAATAAAAATAAATAATCACGCTTTTTAAGGCTTACGTGTTACATTTACCTTGTGATGATACAATAATGCTCTATGGAACACAATGTCTTGGTTGGATGTGGACTGCATTGATGTAATGAAACACTTGTTGTATTTCACTTCTTGTATTATTGTTCTTCAATAAAACACTTTGATAAAACTCACTTGATAATACTGACTGATAGACTTCCATAAAACACTTTGATAAACTGTCTTGATAATACTGACTGATTGACTTCCATATACTGACTGAATTACATGTCGGTTTACATGTCTCTTATATAGCAAAATGAACCTGTGTGAACTTGTTCTGGAAGATTCTAGATGCTTCTTTTCGATGCTTCTAGAAGCTTCTGGATGCTTCTGAATGTTTCTGGATGCTTCCAGATGCTTCTTCTGGAAACTTCTGCATGCTTCTGGAAACTTCTGGAAACTTCCTTTAATTATTAAAAAACTTCCGCGACGTTGACACGGACCAGACTTAAGAAAATGAAACAAACCAAAAAAGTTGCTCTTGTTTTGTCCGCTGCAAAATGGCACTTGTCAACGAAATTCTGCCTGTGTGCTGTCACCTGTCAACTGATTGCTCATGTCATGGCATGCTATGACTCCAGACTCCTGAACTGTTTGCTGTGGTAGTATAGTTCGTTTCGTTTTTAAGACATGTAAAATTAGGAACACTTTTTTGCATTGTTCGATGTTGGTTGCAAATGTTTTGTCCAATACTGTATATATTATATATGATATGTTGGTATTTATAACTGTATTTGTGTTTTTAGAAAAAACTTGAAAGAAGTAATGGCGAAGAAAAAAAGGATAAATGAGTCTTAAACGTCTTAATTATTGCATATTGTCATATTCAAACTGAATTGTTTTTTTTTTTTCAACAGTTTTAAATATTAAATTAATAAAAATAATATAAAATAATTTAAATATTTTTCAAATTGACAAATTTTTGAAATACATTTTCAAATTGTTTCGTTTATATTGCATATCTTAAATCCTTACACGTTAGAAATGAAGAAAAATCTTATATATTTATAAAAAGGTGCATTCAAAATATTAGTAAAACTTTTTTAAATACTAATAAAACGTTTTTCTTAATACAGTAAATATTAACAGTACAATTCAGTAATCTGTTTGATATAAAAGACACTCCAGTTTGAGCGCAATTTGATCTTCTTATTCTTAAAAATAGTGTTTGAAATATTATTTTTGTATTTTAACCAGCTTTAGTAAAGTCTTGTTATAAATAAATTTGAAAAAATTAAAAATTACTTTTTTTTTCATTTTTTTTTTTAAACGTACAATTGACTATAAATATTTGCTGATTAAAATAGTTTCATGAATGATGTCTAAAAAATTTAATTGTTAACTTTTTCAATAAATAAAGCGTTCAAACTAAGGTACATCATGTAGGTAGTCTAGTTATTCAACAGTTAAATAGGTTGTTAAGATGTTTAACAAATATCACAAATCTCAATGTGACAAATATCTGATATCTCAATAAAAAAACATTGTTTTAGCTTCAAATTTTCAGGATATGTTCATTATTGATGTTTTTAGTGCCTGAACCTGAAAAAACGATTAAAAAAATTAAGCTTAACCTACAATTACCATATCTAATTAGTGTTTTATCGCTAAAAAATAGTTTTTTATATCATTAAGTCTGCCATTTTTGATTGTTTAAATTTTTTTCAAAAATTTTTGGTTCAGGCACTAGCTACACTAGTGTACTAGCTTTTTGCAAAATTTAAACCTTTAATATTGATTTATTCTTAAGATATTTATGTTCTTGTGACCTTAACATTTTTACCTTTTTTTGCTGAGTCAGCAATTATTTTTTATTAATTTAAAAAAAAAATTGCATTACGTTTTAGATTTTTATCTATTATGCTAGTAATTCATCATAGGTATTTATTATGTGTAAAATATAAAAAAATAAAACTAATGGCTGGATACCACCTTAAGTGAAATTCAATACGGCTTTTAAACGCAACATTGCCATCTTACACAATATTACTAATGCCATCTTACACACACATTCTCTCATGTATGTGTGTGTGTATATATATATATATACATATATATATATATATACACACACACACACATTTATACATACATATATATACAAAAACACGCGCACTTTATATTATATTACTTTATATTGCTGATAAGGACACTAAAACAATTAAAAATAATATGATAAAAGCTGTTAATGATTAAAACTAATCCATTAAGGTGTAAAAACCGATTAATTGGAAAAAAAAATTTGTTTTGAAATGAATAAAAAGAAATTGTGTTTTTCGGCCATAGTAGGTTTTAAACAAACATAATTTTAACTTATTCAAACTTCTAAACATCAATATCTTATTTCTACTACAGATTCTTGTTTATTATGTGCTTTATGTGGAAGTTTTTAATTGGTTCAAGCTTTTTTCATAATATTTTTTGTGTGTAAATATTGAGGTTCTCCAAGAAGTACTTATGGTCTTATCACAGAGCACTGCGGATGAGTATTTAACTGGGAAGTTTATGCCGACATGACAAATATCGTCTATTAGGCTAGAGCCGGCGTCAAAACTTGGACCTTTTGGTTTTGAGCCAGAACTCTAACCACTGCGCCACGTTAATCAGTGGTCAGAGTTTTTGCTCAGAAATAAAATATAAAAAACTTTCTTTGTTGTTGTGTTTTTCTAATTCTTTGTTAATTAATTGTTTTTTAATTCTTTGTTGTTGTGTTTTTCTCTTTTTTTTTTTTAGTTTTGTTTTTGCTTTTTGTGTGTGTGTGTGTTTTTTTTTATAATTTAACTTGGGTAATTAATCAGAATTAGAAATAAATAATTTAAAAATTTTAAATAAATATGATGTCACAGTATGTGCGATTTATTTTATTTTTCGTTAAAAAATATCATATTAAAGGGTTGTGCATTAATCATGACAATAATGGAAATTATGGATATAATCATGACCATAATGAAAAGTAAAAAAAAAATATCATGCAATAATCATGACTATAATGGAAAGTAAAAAAAAATAAAAATCATCGGCCTCAAAAATTTAATTCCTGAAACGGATCTTCAAACTCTAAAATGTGCAGTTGAGTACTGGAACTTAAAAGAGCAGAGAACTATCTTTAAGGACATTCTTGAAAAACATATTCCTAAATAATCACGTTTAAAAAAAATGAATCAAACTCTTAATTTACCTTACTTGTGGGTGTTTAATAAATCTAAATAAAAAAAAAATCTATAAGAATTACCTTTATAATTTATTGTGCATTTTCAATGAATGGTTATAATTTATAACTTTTTCATAAAATTTAGGAAAATAATGTGAAAATTTTAGAACTAAATAATTGATAGGAATGGTAAGAACTTGTTTTAAATTGTGCCCACTTTTACCAAATTTTTAACTTTTTCCAAAAGCGGATACAATTTAAAACGAAGATTAGATTAGATTAGATTAAAATTTATTAGAACAGTGATACATGTTCTAAAGGACACGCAGGTCCATAAAATATAAAGGACTCTGACAACGTGCCCTACAATCACATAATACAAATGCTAGATAATTTAAAATATATATTACAATATATATAAGACCATAGTTATAAAACAAAAACCAGTTAGCCGTAACAGTATTTTTCAAAGTCAATAGAGTTAATTTTAATTTTGAAGCTCTTTATTTTTTTGGCATTCACGACGTCAGACGGCAAGTTATTCCAAATATTAACAACCCTGAGTGAGAAAGAGTGTTTACGGACATCAAGTTTACATTTTAGTTTGCGTAATTTAAAATTATGTCCTCGAGTGTAAATATATTTGTTAAATAAAAAGAAACTTGATTTATTTTGGCAAACTAAATTGTTCAGAATTTTGTAACATGTAATCATATCTTGCTTAAGGCGACAAATTTCTAGTAGTTGCAAACCAAGAATACTAAGTCTACTTGAATATGAAACATTATTTAGGTTAGAAATTCTCTTGGTAAAACGTCTTTGTACTCTTTCCACTGTATTGTTCATTTCAGTGCGATTCGGCGACTAAACCGGAGAGCAATATTCTAAGATCGGTCTTATATAAGTAGTGTAGGCTTTAACGATAACACGTGGATCACGACTTTTAAAACACTTAAGGATTAGATATCCTCGAATGTTTGATGCGCGGACAATATTTGAAGTATGATTACTGTAATTTAAGTAAGAATCCATGGTCACACCAAGATCTTTTGGGTTTGTAGACCAAGTTAAAGTATGATCGCCTAATTGATAGTTGTAATTTATATCTTTACAAAATAAAGTAGGTGCTATTCTATGAGTAAAGCACTTATTATTGGCTATTTTTAATTGCCATTTTTTTGACCTGAGATAAATTTTATAAATGGCTACAGCAAGATCGTGACTGTAATCGGCATCCTTAAATGAACTATATAACTTGATATCGTCAGCATATAACATTAGAGAGCAATTAAGATATTTTACTATAGAGGGTAGATCATTAATAAATAACAAGAATAACGTTGGACCCAAAACGCTACCCTATGGAACTCCACTTAGGATGCAGGTTGAATTAGATAGTGAACTTCCAACCAGAACTCTTTGATATCTGTTAGAAAGAAATGCTGATATCCAATGAAGCAGATTATCTATTATGCCGTACATTGCAAGTTTCTTCACAGAAATTCGTACATTCTAGGTTTCTAATCTCTAAAAAAAACGAAGAACTTGAAAGTTTCACACAAATTTTTTAAACAAAGTTTATTATAAAGATAAAATATGTATTTTTTGATTTTAAGTCAAAGTAGTAACCAGCCAGTATCAAGCACTCATAAATTGGTCCTTCTAGCCTTTCTAAAAGTACGTTTAAACAAATGCAAGACTCATTTATTTTTTCAGTTGAACGGTACTAAGGTTTTAGAACAAATAAATGAACGAATAATATAAACAAATAAATGAAAGGTTCTTTGACCTGTTCTTCTCCTAAAATTTCCAGACTGCACTCCTCTTCTGTAATTAATGCTTAACATACTCGTTTTTCTTTTTTGGTCCATATAAAAATCAATAATATCTTTACACTTTTTCCGAAAAAAATCTTGATTTTTTCATTCAGGTGCACCAATGTCAAAAAAAAAGCCCAATTGCTAAACAAAGTTTGCTCTCTTGTTCTAGGATTGTTTCATTTGTTCATTATTTACATTTGATCTTCCATTTTTCATCAAAATATGCCACTCATTCCAAAGTGTTTGTATCTAGTTTTTATTCGTGCCATATTCTAAAACACGGCAACTACATCAACCGAAACATAAGTAATACCCTAATTTTTTACTGTTTTACCATTCTCTGCTCTTTTTTAGGTTTTAAGTTGAAGTTATTTTTAATTCAGAATTTTTTTAAACCACACTTACCAACAGGTTGACATGAAATAGAAACCGTTGATTAAAAATCTTTGTTTATTTTTTGACAATTTTTCTTAATATTCAAAACTTTCGAAAAAAAAGGATCCTAATCTTGCACCAGCATCATTAATTAGATTCAGTGTTTTTACACTTTTAGGTGCATCAAAATTATTATTATTTATATTTAAATACTAATTTTTGTCATTTTTAGCAATAACATCATTTTAAAAAAATGCCAATTTTAATCATATAAACATAAAAAAAACATGATCGTCTTTTTAGCTATTATTTTTATTTTACACTTTTTTTTTATTGTTCTCAATTACAAAAAATAATATTATCTTGTTATTGTTGCTGATGTTGTAGTAGTTGTTGTTGGTTCTATTATTTTTAAAAAGGTATATATACATCAGAATAACAACATTATAATTAGCAAATCAAGAAAGCTAAACTAAATGCTAGAAAAAAG